TTTTTTTTTTGAACGGTGGCTGTCCTGCATGAACATACGTCATTGGCCGGAGGATCACAGTGAATTGCTTAAGGACAATGAAATTGGAATTTTAGTTAAGCATCGAACACCCCCTGACCACGCACCATCTGTTTTGTCGTGTGAATGATGGAAAACCCAGAGTAACACATCTTTTTACGTATGGTGCAAGAACTGTTTGTTCTTGTTTCATTGAACACGTGGCAAATTCATCATTTTATGCGAGTGAACCAAGAGAGGGTAAATGAAGGCCTCTTTGGTGATGAAAATGTAAGAGGTATATGTAGCACAGGTTACAGCGTGTTACGCAGAATGTGACTCATTGCAATACTGAGTTTTGATTTTCATTACTGAACTGCAAATCCAGTGCCTTCGGGAAGATTCCATTGGGGATGCAGGAAGGATCGTGGGGTGGTGTGCTCGCTCTTTTACGTTCCTCGGTAGCGGTAAGTGCCGTTTATTATTGCCAGCTGAACGAGCTGCCGTCGTTTGTACTCGTCATTAGGATTTGCGAGCAGAGCCTTGATGCAACGTACGCCGTTTGCGAGTTTCCGGGCGCAGTGTTCCTGAGAAAAACCAATGGCAGTGACAAGCACATGCAGTGGTTCCGCAAGGTGTTCCCATCCTGGACGATCACGGAGGCTCGCTTCACGTTCGGGGTCCTGAAATTCACAGTGCAAATGGAAGACTTTTTTGACTTTTTTGTCATAGATTTTTTTAAATAAAAATTGATGTACTTCGAGCGTCGCTTTATTTTTTTTCTGTAATCTAACAATATCTTTTGTAGAAAACTAAGTGTTTTTAAAAAACATCATTGGCGCCCGGTCGTCGCTGTCCTTGGATTTTTTATCAATAAAATTCGAGTATTGAAGGCGGATTATTGAACGGTACTCACGAGGTGTTGAAAAAACGCAGGGGAAACTGCCAGTGTGGTAGATTTACTTAACTGAATGAAATTATGCGAATGGGAGCATAGACGTATTCCAGATGGACTCTTGGGAGGGAGCGATGAGGTGGGACGGAGAGAGTGGAGCTCCTGGGGGACGACGGGAAATGAGAAGGAGAGTTCATTCCCACCCTGGAATTGTGTGAAAACCAGGAATACAGTTGTAACATAGTTGTTATAGTTTAGAGTTACTTTAGGCTTTAGATCCGGACTTTTGTGGCACTGATGCATGACACGAGAGACCCTTAGTCTCTCTCT